GCTTTGCATCAGTGATGCAGGCTGCATGCCATGCTTGTATTTATATTGTATGTTTGTATATTTAATAGTAAAAGTAATTATCTGCCATGGTACAATTCTAGCAGGCTCATCCAGATGAGAAGCACAAGACCTAGTAAAGCAAATGAGTACAGTGAATTAATTTATCTTGCCCCCCTCCTCCCTACCAAATTTGATTCTAACATACTTGCTGATTTGCTGTAATTATTTTAATTAATCCAGAAGTACATAAAATGTGCACAAAGTTGGACGGCTTCATAAGTATGACTGCTGAAAGTTTAAGCACAGGTTTGTTCTTGTGGGGGAGATGTGAATTTGTTTTTTTTATGCATGTCATCCACTATCCTGTTCACAAAATGTGCTAGCTAATAGAATTTTAAACTTGTTATGATGTTTTTGAAGTAAACTAATTTGGGCCTTTCAATTTTGGTGTTTCTTAGCATGAACAGTTGGACCGTCTTTGTGTGTGCCCCTTCCCCCCAGTAAGTTAATTTGAATAATAACAAATCTATCCTGTTTCTATACAAGACATAACATGTCAGCATTATCTGACATGGGGTATGCTGGCACTGACTGAAGTCTTTGGAGCAGAAAAGTAAAAATACTCCTCCAAGATGTACTGGTAAATGTGCAGTTTTGCCAGTAAAACTGCATGTATACTTGGGGCATCTGCTGGCACGTTTCTACTGGTCAGGGATCAACATCTTCATGTTGCTGACTGGAATAGCAGTGTCTTCAGAAATCTCTAATGCTGTCTTGGCCAAAAGAGAGAGAAGAAAAAATTCTACCTCAAAGAACTTTCATAATTTCTAGTGTACCAGATCATATCTCCATTTTGTTTTTCGTTATTTGAATTGAGTTTTCTGGGATGTACAGGGAGGGAAGCGGGGAGGGCATTGCCTAATTAATAGATAACATTAAAATAGTTACTCTAGTACTATCCTGACTTTGCTTTAAACCAGTGCCAAATTCAGGTTTGTGGGTTTTCTGTCTGAAACAAGGCAGAACTTACAAATAAACGAGGCAGTTTCAAGTGAAGATTTTTGAATTTGCTCAAAGCCAGACCTGAAAGTAGGATTGCAACTACATAGAAGAGAATACAGGAAATGCAAGCTCATTGCAGAGTGATGCTGAGGTCCAGTTACATACTTCTGGAATTCACATGTAAATTTCTCCCTCCTTACTGTATTATACTAAACAGAGTAACATAAGGGTTGTTTCTGGCCCTCTCTGTTCAAATCATATTGAAGCCAATGAAGTTTGCCTTACAGCAACACATTTTATGCCTAGTTCTAACCATTGCTGTACTAACTTCCTTTGGAAGAGTAGGCTGATCTGATTTAAGAGGTGGTGTGTATTACTGGTGATGTAATAAGTAATAACCACTTTAAAGATTCCTCTCTCCCCCTCCACCAATCTTTATCATATGTACCTAGCATCTGAGCAAGAATCAGGGGGTTCTGGGGTTATAATAATTGCTAGCCATTGCATTGTAAATATAATAGGTATTTTATGTTAGTTCAACTGGAACTCCTTATTTCCCTGCCCACCTTAGACCCTGGTAAATGCATTCAATATCAGTTCAAATGTATTGCTAGAAAAAAGTCAAAACCTGAGATGAACTCCTGCCTACTTTTTGCTCCTGGAATGTGTGTTGAAGATGAGTAGGAAATATGGGTTTTACAGAGGTGCTTAGCACCCTTAGACTTTGCTCCTAAATTATAAACCAGTTAAGGGATATTGGTACTCTGAATGTTTTGTTTTTTTTTTAATTAGTTTTACAGACTGTATATGCTTTGGTAGTATTTCTGCCATTCATTTGCTCTGTGTTTAGGCAAGTAAATAAGATGGAAATCCTGTGGAAAAGGCAATCTTCCCAGATTTATGTAAAGATCTCTCTCAGTGAAGCAAACCAAGTATTGTCTATTGCCCTACCTTATGCAGATTCTTGATGAATGAGTCCGTTCTTGAAGTCAGCAAGAGGAATCCATTCATGCCAAGCATGAAGATATGCTAGTGGTTGGCTGAAGGGTCTCTTTCAGGGACAAATCAGAAAGTGATGAAGGCAAGCCCAATGATTTAGCACTTGGACACTCATTAAGGAGCTAAACCAACCAAGTAATGCCAATTAAGAAGCAGTTTCAGAACTTTTAAATAAACATCCATGCTCATGTGTCCTGCTGCTATGGTCTTATAAAAACGTTGATTGTAGCCTGCCTTCTCTACTTGGCTCCAAATCCCTAACATCATGTTGTGGAGCTGGGCAGATACTATTCTGATTCATAATCCAAATCCTGGTCAATTCTACGTGTCTCTGCTGTGCTGGGTTTGATTCTTTGTTCAGCTTTTTATTGACTTTGATAAAAGAGTGACCTTTCTGCTCTATAAGTTTGCATCCTATGGAGGTTTTCAGCCTTCTTAATCAGCTGGAAGACATCACATATTTTCTTTTTGGAGGAAGCTGATAGAGAGAGACATTTTTATGGTCTCCAAAACAAAGTATCAGAGAGAAGTAGAGTGGCTCCAGAAGAGTTGAATATATTTGCCACTTTTTTAGAGTTACTATTTAGATTACTTTAGCCGTTTAAGGTCCTACGTCCCTGGCTTTGGACAGTTTGCTGCCATGCAGAAAACAGAGCGGGTAGTCTTCTCAAGGTCTCTAAGGCTAAGTACAGACAGTCAAAAAGGCTGAGGCTGAATCTATTCAGTCTTTGCAGGTTAGCCTAAAATGCAGAGATCAAACTGAGAAACAACTGGACAGACATTTGGTTTTGATTCAGGAAATGCAGCTGCATGCCTGCAGTGGTTCAGGCCAGAAACCGGGGTGCACCAGAGCACAGCTTTCTGGCACAAAGCCAGCATGGGCTGTGCACTTGCTTTCTCTTCCTGTTGCTCCTCAGGTCTCTGGGATTTGCAGTTCAGAATTACAGCAGCAGGACTCTGCAGGGTTGCTCATCACTTCCTATTCCTGCTTCCAGGTGCCTCTGATTTGGAGTCCACAGTCACAGCCAGCAGTAAGTTTTTAGCAGGGCAGGGCAGGGCATCTCTGTACTTGAGGGAAGGAAAGTTTAACCTCCCACCCCTGGCTCCTAGGGGGTGCAGTTCCTGCCTCTCCCCCTCCCCCCGCCACCCTTCTCTGTTGGAGCAGACAGCACAGCCCAACCCAGGACTGGAAAGCATGCTGGGATGCTGGGGGACTGATTTAACTTGAACAAGGAGGGTCTGGGATGGAAGTCTCATAACTTGGTTTGACCCAAGTCAGTTAAGTCTGATACTACATTCAACCAGGTTTATCTTAAACCAGTTTTAGACATTTTGAACCTGGTTTACGTGTATTGAACTTCTGTTCTGTTACAGGTTTAAACCAGTTTCTGGTGACTTAAACTGGTTTATGTGTAACTTCTGTCCCTAGCCTTTAACACATTGGCAGCTCAACAGCTGAGCTGCTGAGTGTGTTTTCAATTCCATGTACATTGCTAAGTGTAAAGTAGGCCTCTAGTGGATCATCTAGTTTGTTGCTTGCATCACAGAGTACCCTATTCCTTCCCCATTTTTGTTGGATAACTATCTTGCTTTGAGCATCTTCACATGGCAAGCCTACGTCTTCTAATATCTTGTTCAATTGCTCTATTCTTAGTTTTTTAACTATTCTATTCTATTTCTATTTAGCTGTTCTCTTTCTGTGTCGTTGTTTTGGTTACTTTGATTCAGTTGCTGTTTGTTTTCTGAGAAATAGTTTGTCATTTTACTCTTTTCATGTTCACAGAATTTAATTTTTTTAAATAGTTTAGGATTGCTTGCACTGCATCATTTCAGCTGTGTTTATAATAAGTTTTGGGGGTGGGAAAGCAGAGCCCTGAAAGTCATTGATCCTATCTTTATAACTTTGCCCTTTTAGCTTGGAACAGATTACTTGCAGGGTGGTTCAACACTGTGCAGACAGAATCAGAAGGACCAAACTTTACATAAACCATTTATACTCAGTGTTTAGTATGCTGGCAACATAAATCAACAACAATATCCATTACAAATTCATCGCTTTATCAGTATTATCTTGATAGAACTGATCTCAGCACATGGAAACGTGAACCATACCTCAATAAGTTTAGCCCTTTGTAAATTAATTATTCAGGATGCACAGAACCTGGCCCCTTCAATATAGAGTAATTCTTCCCAGCCAACATCCAGGATTTTAACTTCAGTGGCAATAATAAATAGAAAAAGTCTCAGGTGATGCCACTATTTTAAAGTAATTAATCATCTTCTCCTCATGCTTCCTCCACCCTCTCTTCATTCTTTTTAACAAAGGGGTTTCAGTAATAAATCTTTAATGATATATGTTAAGAGTAATTCATTAATTAAATCTTGTTCTGCTTATTTCTTTTTTGTGATGCCTTCATGCTGTATGTTATTAATTGTGAACTGCAAATGTGCATAAAATAAATGTCTGTTTATAGAAAACTGATGGTTTAGCTTGCAAATCTGTGAGAGAGATCTTTTTTTGGATTTTGAATGCCATGTAATGCCTATACTAATAGAAATTGTTAATACTAGGGGACTGTCAAAAAGTAATACTCTAAAGGTGGTGTCTTGCTACAGTATCAAAATTAGAGGATGTCTGCAAAAATAAAGAGAAAATGATTTGTGTATACCTCAGTTTCTAAGATGAAATAAACAATTAGCATTCATTCATTCATAGTGGGTTTATAAAGATGATACTGTATGGGCAATAATCTTGTATTTATAAATGCCTGTACAGTAAACAAAATTGCATTTTTTTCTAGTTAAAATAGCAGTTTAATGCTCTGACCTAGAAGAGATAACATATCTTTAAATAATTCTTGTTAGACCTGACCAACCATCATGTATATTCAGTGTGACAGGGACAGATGTGACAGATCGGTTCTGACACACTTCCATACCACAAGTCAGTGGCTTGAGGTGACTCATGTCCTTCCTTTTGATTCTGTCCCCTGCTGCAGGACAACACAATGATGCACGAATGAACCTTGCCATTGCCCTCACTGCTGCCAGGTATGGTGCTGCCACAGCCAATTACACTGAAGTGGTGCACTTGCTGAAGAAGACAGATCCAAAGAGCGGGAAGGAGCGTGTCTGTGGCGCACATTGCAGGGATGTTTTAACAGGTGTGTAGATTGCACTGTTGGAGATATTTACAGAGTGTGGCTAAACTATTCCTAATAAATACCTTTTATTAGTTATAATCTTACCTAGATCATAGTTCATTGTGTGGAGGTGACTTTTCAAATACATGTGTTCTGTAGCACATTCTTTGAAAGAAACTGAAAATTTTCCCTATTAGCCATTTTTCATAGTTTTACTTAAAAGGATGAAGAACAGCTTCTAACAGATGCATTCTGTTTTCCTTGAAGAAACGGGTAAATGAAAAAGAGAAGGGGACCCTAATATTTGTAAATATCAATTAGCTGACAAAAGAGGCATGTTTCCAGAGTGCAGTAGCATGTCATTAATGTCAGTCATCTTTAACTTCTGTCAGGGTTTCATTCCAATTCTAGTACATTGGCAGGGGAGACTATGCTATACATCTAAGCCCTCTGTCAAGCAGAGCTAGCACTATAAGATGCTGTATGCTGTACATTAGTAACACTGTTTACCAGCTTTGTGGGTTCAGACTGCGGTGTCACCAGTTTTCCCATGATTTGCTCTTAAATAAGAGTTCAGTTAACTAAAGTGTAAAAACAATCTAGTACTCTCCTTTTTTTTGTCAGGGTGACTTTGATATATATTTCTTTCTTTCTTTTCTTTTTCACCAATAAAAGAAGAAAAAAATCCTCAAATCCCTTCATTAGTATCTTAATAATTCCAGCTGTTCAGGTCCTTTGGAATGTTGCAGTGTATTTTATAATGGGTTAAGTTCATAGATAGATTAATAATCCAGAGCGTCAGCAAGCAGGGAAGCAAATGGGGTATGTGATTGATGCTGTTTTCTTTCACAGGGCAGGAATTTGATGTCAAAGCCAAGTGTGTTATCAATGCTACGGGACCTTTCACAGACTCTGTGCGCAAAATGGATGATCAGGAAGTAGCAAACATCTGTCAGCCAAGTGCAGGCGTGCATATTGTGATGCCTGGTTATTATAGGTAACGCTATTCGAAGCTTAAGCCATTTGTAACAATGTCTGTGTCTATAATGAATAAGGTCGTAGAATACGCACTTCCAGTTTTTATGGGACTGCTTGAATGCATGCCTTTTTAAGTCAGGAATTCTAGCAGTGTACATACCAGCAAAAGGATTTTATCTTGCTGAAAATCAGCCAGATAGTTGTCTCTTCTCTAAGACTCAGTTAAACAAAGAGTGAAGTTGAAATAAGTGGGAAGTTAGCCAAAGTACTTACTGCAGACTTGATGTGGTATGTACCACCTCCCCAGCAATGCTGATTCTAGAGATAAGCAATGTATAAAACCTCTTAGGAACATAAACTTTTATATTTGTTTGCTTCTTTCATGAAGAAAATCCACTTTAATTTTTATGTTAGGTCACTATCTGTGCAATGGCTGTACCTGTCAATAAAGTCAGTCTTTTAAAAATAGACCGTTTTTAATGTGACTAGATTCAGAATTTATACAGCATGCATTTCCAGTTCAGTAAGTCTTCTTTCTTTGGGTTCCTGGTTCCTAGATGTGAGACTAGTCCCCAGAGCAAGTAGTATGACAAGGAATTTATTTTGGAAATATTGAAGGGATTTGATGGAATGCAGACAGAAGTAGTCCCTTCATGAAACAGGAGGAAATCAGTTTATGGGAATGGGATTTAAGGTCAAAGAATCTTTTGTGGATCCTGGTTATATACTTAAGGTTGTATTGTCTTGTAGTGTGAATTAGATCAGATCCATTGAAGATACCCCCATTTAATCCAACAGAGAACATCTACCTCTAATCCACTCATAAAATTAACAAAAATGATTTTGTTCTATATTTGCTGCAGCTGTTTGAGGATATCAGTCCATAATGATGCATTTTTTTGCCTGATTTGAGAAGTCTCCCTCACATTTTGTGGAGTGCTGCCTCAGTGCAACATAGTGGCTGTTGAAGCCACGGGCTTTCTGGCAGATCTGAATGTTTGGAGCAAAATTTGTATTAAGAAATGCATGGCCAGCCATCCTTGGCTCTCTTACCTTCACTGAAATTAATGAGGGTCAAACTTACGGCTCATTTAAATTGCACTGCTGTCCCATTTCTTTCCTTTCTTTTTCCTTCTAATTTCTAAATATAGCTTGAAATATAATTAGAATAGTTTGTTAGATGGGAGTTGTTGTGCATTATTGTTTACCCTCCTAGCTGGCCTTCCTTAGAGTCAACAGCTCCAGTTCCTACAGACTGGGGAGGTCATAAATACCTAGTTATCTGACACCAGATTTGTCTTTTCGGTAGGGGGTGCTAAAGAGAAGCTGAAACCCTCCCGCCTTCCCAGGTCCAGATCACCACAGAATTGAAAGTAAAATATTCCAAAAAAATCTTATGAACCAGTCCTCTGACTCAGACCAAAGGATATTGGTGTAGATCCTCAGATGGCATTTTTATGTATATAAAAATAGAAGATTTCAGAGTCCCATTGTACTCCATCCTTAAAGACAGATTCAGCACAAATTTCACTGTGCTTTTCTATAATATTTTCCATCTGAGCTCACTAAACCATGTTACAGTGTATATAGCATACTGTTCTTCCCATTTTACAGGTCGATTAGTGAAGATTATATAGACAGAACAGAATTAAAACCTATATTGTCTAACTCTCTGCCTGTAAACGATGAAGTTATTTTTCTTTTCTCCATATAAATGTAAATCTAGGAGACTTTCTAATGCAGGTATGTGATGGTCAGCTGCCCATTTTGTTCATTGATACTGGACTTTGGAGCAGAATTTATTTATTTTCTACATTATTTTGTGATCTTCTCTAGCCTGGACTGAGATGATTCAGTGTGCATAATGAATTTAATCAGTGGTTCTATAATGAACTAAATTATTTGAAACTAAAATTGAACAAAGGAACATTCCAGATCTTGTTCTCCAGTGTATGTCAGTGCGTAGGCATTTCTTTTCTCATAAAATAGGGTCTACCCACACGTAGCCTCCATGGGATAAATGATTAGCTAAAGCTGTACTGAATTTGCTTTAAATAGGATGGGTATGCCAACAAGGAACAGTCTGCATAAGTAGTATCTTCATAGCATTGAATCTTTGCTATATGTATAAATTGGCAAATCCCCCATTCTTGTTGCCAAAAGAATGCTGCTCAGCAAAATCTGATTTTTTTTTTTCTTTCTTTTTTTTTTTTTTCTTTTGCAACCACTTTCCTTTTGGTAACCGCCTTTATAGAACTTTGGTCCAGTCCTGCAAAAACGAATACTTCATAACAAACAGGGAGAACTTTTTTCTAAGTATAGATAAGATTTAATTTAACTTGATTTTAATTCAGTTAATAGAATCATAAAAAATTAGGGTTGGAAGGGACCTCAGGAGGTCATCAAGTCTAACCCCATGCTCAAAGCAGGACCATCCCTAACTAGACCATCTTAGCCAAAGTTTTGTCTAGCTAAGCCTTAAATCGACCTTAAAAACCTCCAAGGATAAAAATTCCACAACCTCTCTGGGTAACCTGTTCCAGTGCTTTACTAGACCCCTAGTGAAAGAGATATTTTCCTAATATCTAACCTAAACTTCCCTTGGTGCAACTTGAGACAATTCATTTATCTGCTACTGGTTTCTTTTATCTTCATGCTCTCATTAATTCTCTCTGTATTCCTTCTCTCATTAATTCTATTTTTAGTATATATGTCCTTAGTCAAATAGCTACAGTATGTTTCCCTCTTACCCATGCAAATTTATCATTTTTTTGGAAACCTCGCTATTTCTGTTGATGGACTGCCCAGATGGGCTAGGGACAGACATTACACACCAAACTAGTTTAAGTGATCAGAAACTGGTTTAAACCTGTAACAGAACAGGCATTCAGTGCACATAAACCAGTTTCAAAATGGCTAAAACCAGTTTGAGATGAACCTGGTTGAATGTAGTATCAGACTTTATTGTTTTGGCTCAAACCAGTTTATGCAGTGTCTGTCCCAGACCCCTTCTTGGTTTAAGATAAACCAGACACTCCCGGAATGTTGTCTAGGCTGGGCAGGGCTCTCTGCTCCACAACCAGAACAGGGACTGGCCCTAGCAGAGACACCAGCTGGCATGGCCCCATTAAGGCAAAGTGGACAGGGAGGGCATCAATTCTTCCCTCCTTCCCCTTTTCCCCCACTGCAGCCATGGTCAGCCTGTCTGCTGGGGAGCTGTGGACTGCAGCAGTGGCCCATGGAGCTGGCAGACCCCAGCTGCAGGGAAGGGACGGGGGAAGGAATTAACCCTTCTCCCTGCCTCTGTCACTTTAACGGGACCATGCTGGTTAGGTTGTCCCACAAGGTTAGCAGTGGGGCTCTCTTCCCTGCTGGGGGGGGACTCTTCCCCCTCCTCCTCCCAGGGTGGGGAGGGAGATTGTGGATGGGGACTTTTTCTACTTCTCCCCCATTTACCCCGCTGCTGATGGAGGGGCCACACTCCATGTGATGCTGCCTGGCCCCAGAGTGGGGGCAGATGGCGGCTCTGTTCCATGCTGGGGGGAACTCTTCCCCCTCCTCTTTCTTCCCCCAGAGGGGCAGCGGGAGTGTAGAGTTCAACTGGGCAGGGTGTGGGTGTGAGAGAATGTGGGGGGTGTAGGGACCCCCACGCACTCCCTCCATGGCATGCAGCCCCCGTTGCCTGACAGCAGCAGCAGGCGGGGATGTCAGGGTGCTCATGCCCGGTGCAGGCGCAGCTTCGGCCAGCGCTGCACGGTGGGGAGGGAGTGGAGCCTGCCTTATCCCTGCAGCTGTACTCCCTGAGCCTGAGCCTGCAGTGAAGGAAGGCCTGCACTAGAGCCAGCTGCTTCCCCCACTCCCCGCTGTTCAGGTCTCGCAGTCTGACGGGAGTGGAAGGAGCCCCGCCCCATGCTTCCATGCGCATTCCAACGCTGGGCTTTCCCACTGTGAGTGCAGAACTGCAGGCGTGCAGCGTGGAGCCCCAGGGATAGAGGCAGCCAGCACTGCACCAGGGGTGAGGACTGCAGCCTGCCCAGCCGCTTCTATCTCCATGGCTCTGCACCACACCTGTAGCTCCGCACTTGCGGTGGGGAAACCCGGCGCTGGACTCTGAAGCGAAGCAGGGGGTGGGGGCTCCCTCCACTCCCAGCAGTGTGGGATCTGCACAGTGGGGAGTGGAGGAAGCAACTGGCTCCAGTGCAGGGCTTCCCCCACTGCAAGTTCAGGGAGCAGAGCCTCAGGGATAACGCAGGCTCCACTCCCTCCCCCCCGTGCAGCGCTGGCCAAAGCACCACTCCCTCTCCCCTATCCAGCACCAGCTAGAGCTATGCCTGGGCTGGGCACAAGCACCCTGACCACCCCACTTGCTGCTGCTGCCAGGCAGCAGGGTCTGCAGAGCATGGTCCCTCCACGCCCACATCCTGCCCAGCTGAGCTCCATGCTCCTGCTGCCCCTCTGGGGGGAGGAGGAGAGGTTCCCCCCAGCATGGAACAGAGCCTCCCCCTGCCCTGTGGGGCAGAAGAGCGGGGGAAACAGTCCCCCTCTGGGGCTGGGAAGCATCCCATAGAGCCTTCTCTCCCCCACCCTTCAGTGATGGGGGAAAACGGGGGAAGAGTCACCCTCTGGGGCCAGGCAGCCTCACAGAGCCTGCCTCCCCACCCGCCGCAGGGGGGGAGGAAGAGGGAGAAGAACCCCCGCTAGCACTGAACAGGGCTCCCCTCCCAGCCTCCGGGCAGTGGAGGAGGAGGAGGAGTGGGAAGAGTTCCCCTCTGGGTCTGGCCATCCCTGTGTTCCTGGATTACTCCTGGCTGTCAGGGAGTTGCTGGGGCAGGCTTGCCAGGGCCTGGCCATGCCCCCACTCCTCAGCTCAGCTTCCCTGTGGAAGTGAAGGGCTGCTCTAGTCCCCCCAGGCTTCTGTCTTGTGCCACTGCAGGCATGTGCCAAATGTCTGTCCATTTGCAAACCGGTTCACTCTGCAAGTTGGACTAACCTGAAAGGACTGAATCAGTTCAGGCTCAG